GAAACCCTATACAGGGTTTCTATGGGTCAGAAACGACTCGACAGCACTCAACAACAAACAACAAAATGCAACACTAATTCCTGCTTCTCTTTATCACATAAATTGTACCAGTTTCTAGGGATATTCAAAATTGACAAAAATTGTTTTTGTAGTAAAATGGTCTGTGGCCAAAGAAGAAATCTAAGGCTTAGAGAAAGTGAATAGGCCAAAGTCAATCTCTATGCAAAGAACTTGAGATTGTAACAAGTTTAAGAAACACAAGGAAAACTGCTTTTCAGGTGACTTGCATGTTACTGTAAAAAGTTGTCATTAACATTTTTCTTGGATCCACTATCAACATTCTGGAAGCAGCAGGCAAGAATCAAATTACTGGCAAGACCTGGGGACTTCTGGGCCCAGAGTCAGTGACATAATCACAGAGGATTGGAGTGGAAAGTGAAGCATCCAGCTGATCAGAAGAGACAGCATATGCACAAGAACGCCCCCACTTGCAGATAATACCCACTTGACCTGACTTCAATGGCTGGATGATCAGAACTCAACTAGAAGAAGAAAGAAGAGGGGAAAAAAAAGAGTAATCTGAAACAATTTGATGAAATTAACCTACAGTTACAGTTGCAGTAACTCAAAAGAGGGAACAAATCTTTACACCAAGAATCATCCCCACTTCCTCTATACACAGAGTAGACAAGGATGGGCAACTTGGACATTGGTTACCCAAATTGGGGGCTATAAAGGCAAGAAGTGACTGGCTTATGAGCTTTCAAGAGGGAGCCTAGATCCAGAGGACATGGAGGAAAATAGTATCTCCAATGAGGAGTACCCAATCTGTCTTGGGTGGGGCAGATTAAAGGAGATGGGGATAGCACTCATGTGACACAAGAGTGAATAAATACTATCAGGACTGACTGTGAGTGTTGGAAATGTAAAGGCATACATTTTGTAGCTAAAGGAGGGGAGTGGTTGACTTTGCAGTCCAGGAGCTGAGGTCCCTGGGACCATCAAGGGAGAAGAGCAGATTGTGGGAACTTACCGAGAGAAACAGTGACACCAGAGATGATGACATGGAGAGATGTAGTGGCTGGGGACTCTAGACCCAGAGAGGGAGAGGGGCTGTGTGCTGATGACCGGGTGGCAGGCTTGCAGGGTATAGCCTTTGGTTAGTGATGATGCATGGAAGGGATTGTAACCATGGCAATGAAATGATATACAATAGGATGAATGTAAAGCTAACTTTCTCCCTTGTAAACTATCACTTAATTCACAATAAAACATTAAAAAAAATGAAATCAAATTATGTATTTCATTTGGCAAATCTGCTGCACAAGACCTCTTTGAAGTACTTAAGAGTAAAGAAGCCAGTTTGAGGACTAAGCTGCAATTGTTCCAAGCCATACTATTTTAAACAGCCTCATACATATGTGAAAGTTGGACAATGCATAAGGAATCTAGAATTCAAGAATTATGGTATTGGAGAAGAATATTTAAAGTACCATAGATTGTCAGAAGAACAAACAAATCTGTGTACAAGAAATACAACTAGACTCTGCAGCGTCGGCTTGAGGCCTCTAACCCGATCGTTGCACGATGTAGAAGGTTCCTTCAAGATCACACTGACGTCGGATCCGCGGCTGCCATACAAAGTACTCAGTGTTCCTGAAAGTACACCTTTCCCAGCAGTCTTAAAGTTTGCAGCAGAAGAACTTAAAGTTCCTGCAGCAACAAGTGCAATTATTACCAATGATGGAATAGGAATAAATCCTGCACAGACTGCTGGAAATGTTTTTCTAAAACACGGGTCAGAACTGCGAATTATTCCTAGAGATCGAGTTGGAAGTTGTTAATGGCAGCTACGTGGAACATACTTTCTTAATCAAGTTGTTCTGTTTTGGGTTTTTTTTTTTTTTGTAAAATTGAAATCAGGCTTTATAAAATACTATGAAAATGCCAATAGTTAATGCAAGTTGACTCTTTGTTATTCAGTCTCAATGTGAAGAGGGAATGCTTACAGAATGTAACCGCCCATCCTCACGTGGTATGCTGTCTTCACTTGCTACCTCACAACATGAACAGGTAGTTCATTTAGGGGAATGCATTATCAAGCTCTGGTTTTATTAAATGGAGTATACTTCTGATAATTATAAAAAAAAATTGCAAAATTTAACTTAACTGAGTCTCAATTTGTCCTTGAGTTAAAATTTTAAATGTATGTGTGTTGTTGTTTAGTGCCATTAGGTCGGTTCTGACTCAGCAACACTGCATAGGGTTTCCCAGGAGCAGCTGGTGGATTTGAACTGCCGACCTTGCAATTAGCAATCTACTGCTTATCCTACAACACCACACAAGCACTCCAAATGTGCATATATATATGGTTCATGAATGGCAGTTTGCTTGATAGCATCTAACTTGCAGGATTCATAAATAATTTAAATCTTAATTATATATAGTTTATGATGATAAGAATAGACACCAATGAAAACTTAGTATCCTTGTTTAGTGCTGTTGAGTTGATTCCTACTCATAGTGACCCTGTTTCCGAAGAGAGCTGATGGGTTTAAACCATAAACTTTGTGGTTCACAGTCCAATGCTTAGTCTATAGCACCACACCAGGGGTCCTAGTTTTGCTTTTATCTTTTTTTAATTTCAAGCTACATGTGGGCATGTAATTTTAAATTTAGTAACATACTTCCAAAAAATGGATTTTTGAAATCTAAACCACTAAGTGTTAAATTGACATCCCAAACCAAATGACTATAAGTATGATCTTACAAAATTTAATACTTTTAGTGTTGATAATTGACATTACATTAGAAGCATCCTTTACTGAATTAATATTAATCTCTTTTAGTACTGCCATTAAAATAGAAATCCTCAAGAAATCACTGTCTTTTTGAGAGAATAGTAGTTCTAAGTGGATTTCAGGAAGAGAGCATTGTTGCTAGAACATCTGAAGTTTCTGCAAAGCAAATTAGAGATGCTAATTCAATTTGATGCACTCATTAATGAACAACCATACAAGAAAGTGTTGGAGATGTATGAATAAGAAGCTAGGAAAGGGAAGATGGGGAAGTTAAGATGAACAGATTTTTAGTAAGGATACTATGCAATGAAGGCCAATAGTGATGAAAAACTGAAAGCTTTAGTAGTGTTCAGAAAAAGGCACTGGATAGGCAAAACATCAGAGGCTTTGTTGTGGAGGCCTGAGAGGATCAACAAAAGACAACATTGTCAGAAGTAACAATATAGATACATTATCAATATACTGATTTCAAAATTCCTCTGTAAGAATCCCCCCAAAAATGATGTATATAAGGAGAGATTTTGTTTATAGAGAAAATCAGTATCTATGAAAATCTTGAAAATTTTAATGAAAGTTCACAGTGATTCAGAACCAATCCTGTTTAATTACATAGCTAATTCTTTAAGACAGGCACATGCATGTCTGTCTCTGTTTAGAGCTGGGAATATAGTATACTTAGAGTTTATATGCTTAGTTATTCATGAGTAAAGTATAAAGTAATTGTGTTCTCTATTGCAGACCCTATATTCATCGGGGCCAAATATTTGTAAGAAAATGCAATGGAATCAACATCAAAATGTTGACATTGATATTTAACCAGCTGTTGATAAATGTGACAAATGGAAAAAAAGAAATGCAACTAGAATGCTCCTTAAAAGCCTGGATAGCTAGGCTTTGTTTCTCATACTTCAAACAAGTTATCTGAGGACTCAGTCCCTGGAGAAGGACATCATGAATGGTAAAGTGGAGGGTCAGCAAAAACGGAAGATCCCCAAAGAGATGGATTGGCACAGCAGCAATGGGCTCAAGTATAACAACAACTGTGAGGATGGTCCAAGATCAGCTCTGTTGTGCATAGGGTCTCTATGAGTCCGAACTGACTTAATGGCACCTAACAATAACAACATGTGTCAAGGTAGATTAAGCCCTGGGCTGCTAACCACAAGGTAGGTGATTCAAACCTACCAGCTACTCATTAGAAACCCTATCCAGGATTGCCATGAGTTGGAACTGACTCTATGGATTTAACAACAGGGACTCTTAAACAGTCTGTTGTTAGTTGCCATGGAAACAGCTCTGACTCATGGGGACCTTGTATATAGCAATGTCCTGTGGCATATTCATGATCATTGCTGCTGTTGTTAAATGCTGTCCTGTCACTTCTGACTCAGAGTGACCCTGTATAAGGCTTCTGAGGAATGGCTGGTGAGTATCAACTGTTGACCTGTGGTTAGCAGTTCAGTGCTTATCCTATAGTACTACACCATGATCACTGTTGTTGTTAAGTGCTGTTGAGTCAGTTCTAACTCATAGCTACCCTGTAAAGGGTTTTCCAAGGAGCAGCTGGTGAGCTGAAACAACCAACCTTGCAGTCCAGCACATTAACCCTGTATTTTAATTCATTGTTGACATTATTGTATCAACTCTAGATGGGAGTATCTCCACAGTACATTAAGTGTTTTTCATTTGAAATATTTTAGTAGAAAGATATCCATAGTGAAATGTCTCTACTGTCTAAAAGGACAGATAAAAACAAAGATATTTTCATATTGATACTATGGGTCTACATTTACTGCTACTCTTTGAAGAACCAGCAAGAATAATGTCATCTCACGGCAGAGATTGTGAAATTTATAATTACATGTGAGACTTGCATTTGATAAACAGAGTTTATCATTGCCATATGCAAATGACACAACCATGCTCGCTGAAAAAGAAGATGACTTGAAATACTTACTGATGAAGATCAAAGATTACAGCCTTTAGTATGGATTACACCTCAATGTAAAGAAAACAAAAGTCCTCACCAAGTGGATCAATAAATAGCATCATGATAATCGAACAAAAGATTGGTGTTCAAACCCACTCCTTGGAAACTATATGCAGGTTTGCTATGACTCAGAATGACTTGACAGCACTTAACAATAAACAACAGCAAGGAAGAGTAGTTAATGTCACTATTTTTCAAATTTGAGAACCACCACTAAAGACAATGAATGATGAAATTGAAGAATTCTACCAATTTCTTCAGTCTGAAATTGATCAAACCGTTCCTCCCTCCCCCACGCCTCCTCTTCTTCGGTGAGGCGCTCCGGTAGCAGGCAGCATGGAAACCTTGGAGACTTGGGTGTGCGAGACAGAAGGCTGCAGCAGAGAGGCCAAGCTCCAGTGTCCCACCTGCATCAAGCTGGGCATTCAGGGATCATACTTCTGCTCACAGAAATGTTTTAAAGGAAGCTGGGCTACTCAAAAGTTACTACATAAGAAAGCAAAAGATGAAAGGCAAAGCGAGAAGTTTCTGCTTGGACTGTAGAAGGTGATATTAACACCGACCCATGGGCAGGTTATGGATATACTGGTAAACTCAGGCCACATTATCCACTGATGCCAACAAGGCCAGTGCCAAGTTATATTCAAAGACCAGACTATGCAGATCATCCTTTAGGAATGTCTGAATCTGAACAGGCTCTTAAAGGTACTTCTCAAATTAAATTACTCTCCACTGAAGATATAGAAGGGATGCACCTTGTATGTAGGCTGGCTCGAGAAGTTTTGAATATTGCTGCTGTGATGGTTAAACCAGGTGTAACTACTGAAGATATAGATCATGCTGTACACTTAGCATGCATTGCAAGAAATTGTTTTCCTCCCCACCCCCCGAATTATTATAATTTCCCAAAGTCTTGTTGTACCTCAGTAAATGAAGTTATTTGTCATGAAATTCCAGACAGACGACCTTTGCAAGAAGGTGATATTGTAAATGTGGACATTACTCTCTATTGCAGTGGTTACCACGGGGACCTAAATGAGACATTTTTTTGTTGGAGATGTGGATGAGGGCACACGGAAGTTAGTCTAGACCACATATGAGTGCCTGATGCAAGCCATCAATGCAGTAAAACCTGGTGTTCGATACAGAGAATTAGGAAACATTATTCAGAAGTATGCTCAAGCACATGGGTTTTTGGTTGTTCGGAGCTACTGTGGGCATGGAATCCACAAACTTTTTCATTCAGCTCCCAATGTACCCCACTATGCCAAAAATAAAGCTGTTGGGGTGATGAAGGCGGGCCATGTATTCACAATTGAGCCAATGATTTGTGAAGGTGGATGGCAGGATGAAACGTAGCCAGATGGCTGTACCGCAGTAACAAGAGATGGGAAGCGTTCTGCGCAGTTCAAGCACACACTCCTGGTCACAGACACTGGCTGCGAGATCCTCACTCAGCTACTTGAAAATGCACGGCCTCACTTCATGTCCCAATTTTAATTTCTCCCAAGGTGGCACATCTCAAGAATTCCTTTTGTCTGTAATCTTCATTTTATTGAGAGTACAGAAAGGAAGAGCAGATTTTTATCACTTGTTTTTGTTTTGATCATACATAATAAAGAACTACAGCATTTGATGTGTATCCTCAAGAACTTGTCTTGGTTCTGGAAAAACCGAGAATAAAGGACAAATTTCTCAATCCCTTTTCCCAGATAATCTCCGTACCCCATTTACTCATTTGCCCTTTGAGTGCTTTTACTTAAACCTGTTCTTCTAGTTGGCATTTCTCACTGATATAAACCAGCTGACAAGAGCCAGGTGCTTATCAGCTCAATGTTGAAAATGAAAATTCTTGAAACTTTAGCAACATGTTGCTCCAGATTTTTTTTAAATTACATATGTGAAAATATACATGTATGCATTTTAAATTCCATATATGTAATTACTGAATACTATGTGGCCTGGGATTTGTGTTGATTCTGCTCTGACAGGACTAGATGCTGTCAAAAGTGGACTGATAGTTGCAGTAATTTAATTCCTGCCTGGGAATTGG